AAACCATGTTATTATAATATATAAAAGTATGTTTTATTGAACATCGGGTCAATCAATAATGTTCTAATCAGCTCGATATATTGATGATGTTGCCAGTATTACTTATCTAGCAATATTGCTGTTATATTAATCAATTAAGGCCGCGTTAACAAACATAACATATACTATTTTATATATATTAATTCGTTATAATAAAATTAAATAATAAAAATATTGTAATTATATTCCTGCAGTTTAAGTGAAAAGTTTTGTTCCTAAATATCGACTATACATATAATAAACGCGTGTTCAAATATTACTTTTATATGGAATATATATGAATATAACATAAAACGAGTAACTGTAATGATAATAAAACGAGTATGTAATTAACTAAATATCATCGTAACAACAGCTATTTTAGAATCGTCTAGGTTTACTTATTTCACTGAGATTTATGAAAAAAAAATCCTTTGCCTCGGGTACAGATACCGCCACGTTTTGGAAATAGCTTAAAACGAAACAAAATTGAACGAGGCAACGGGAAACGCCAAAAAAACAACGCCCTCCTCACGAGTAGTTTTCAGGCGCTTTTAAGAATCGAAAGTAGGTCGAGGCAAACCGAAGTGGGTCAAGATAACTGGAAATAAATCGAAATGCGACAAAGTTAGGCGACGAAATACGACCTTGATTTGCTTCGAAGAGTTCTCCGCATAGTGTAGAGGCTGTTTATAATTCTTTATTCTTAATTTGTTTGTCAGTTTTGATGTTCGTTTAATTTTTGATGTTCGTTAAAAAAATAATAAAAACTATGCTATTAAGTCATCAAATGTGAAAATGCACAGTGCTCTTGATTAACTTACTAATAAAATGAAAAATTGCACATTGGAAATAGAAAATAAACGACACTAAGAAATATTCGAAGAACATAAAACATAAGTATGTATAAGTAAATAATAAGTTGAGTAATATATTTGCCCTTTTCTGGTCCAAGTAGGCATTGCGGCACCTTAGACCAAGGTCAACCCCCATTTTTTCCCTAAATTTAGGGAAATTTTCCCGTCCATAGCGCCCCACCCCATGTAAATCTTATAACATGGGTTATATGTAATTTCCCTAAATCTTCTGATTTTTAGATTTGGCAACGTCGCATTTTGCTATGCATCCGGCAACACTGTACGTAGACGTCGAACGCCATCTAACGTCTACCTCCGGAACTACAGCGCGCCACCTATCGGGTAGCTCAAGCGTTATAATGATGGTAACTGTAATTTGGGATGCATGACGTCATCCGCCTGATGTCATTTAAATTTATTTTTAATAAAAAAGTTCGGTGTAGGGTTTGAACCACGGACCTGTCGATCGCCAAGCTAACGCCTTAATCAACACGACCACAAACGTATTTAAAATTAATTGTAGGATGAGGGCCCCAAATTAAAGCTGTCTCAAAGGTATAGATCACGTAATGAACGACGTTCGTACACAAGTCAAATACCATATACGAGCGCCATTCACCATATGCCATACACCTAGCCCTGCGTACCGGGGGACCCACTAAAAATTTATTAGCACCATTGATTTATCAAAAATAAAAGCAGAATATTTACTTACCACAAACTAGCTATAGGGGCGCAGCACCAGCAGTTCCAACAGCATAAGGTAAGTACCTAACCTATTTCTAGGATGCGGGAGCAGCATACGTGTTGTCGCGACGACCACCGCCTAAAGACTGATACAAAAATAAATGTAGTCCTTATTTATAATAATAATAACATTGTTGAAGGTTGAAACCATTACGCAAACGTCAAAAAATCAACGAACCCATCAGAGAGCCCTTGTAAAACGTATAGATTTAATAATTTATTAAAATTAACTAATAAGTGTTATTAGCATAAAGTAATTAGATGCAATTTCCTATTAAAAAACAAAAGAAGTTTAGGTAAACAAAGTGCTGTCACAGTTTAGCAAAAATAGTAATAAAATATATACGCATGGCTAAATGATTTATTATAAAACATAACGATTAATTAATTTAAGAGTATTAAACCAAAAGACTTTACTTTACTAAAAGATTAAACATCAAATATTGGCGCCAAAATCAACAGGGTGTGGTGCGCAAGCCCCAACAGAAAAAATTACAGCAAGTACTTAACGCTATAAGAATAAAATTTAGAGATGACTAAAAGCAAACAGTTCTGAGAATCTAACCCAACAGAAAAAATATGTACAAGTACTTAACGCTATAAGAATAAAATTTGGAGATGAGACTAAAAAAGCAGACAGTTCTGAGAATCTATCAACAAAAATAATTTAAAAAGTATTAAGTCAAACGTCAATTAGGTGTAAGCGCAAGCTCCAACAGAAAAATTAAAAATACAAGGACAATAGCCCATCGTTTAACTTCGGTAAACAGCGGCTGTCAAACGTCAAAATTAACGCGCCAAAATCAATAGGGTGTGGCAGAACTATCTAAATTTTTACACAAGTCCGAAACAAACAGAAAAAAATTAAAATCTAATGCAAAACATAACGATTAATTTAAGAGTATTAAATTAAAACAAAGATCAAACGTCAAACACTGGCGCTAAAATTACTAGGTGTGGCGCGTAAGCTCCAAAATAAATAGAAAAATCTAATGCAAAACATAGTGATTAATTAATTAATTTAAAAGTATTAAGTCAAACGTCAAATGCCAACTAGGTGTAAGCGCAGACTCCAAAATAAACAGAAAAATTTAAAAAATATGTACAAGTACTTAACGCTATAAGAATAAAATTTGGAGATGAGATTAAAAAGCAAACAGTTCTGAGAATCTATCAACAAAAATAATTTAAAAAAGTATTAAGTCAAACGTCAACTAGGTGTAAGCGCAAGCCCCAACAGAAAAATTAAAAATACAAGGACAATAGCCCATCGTTTAACTTCGGTAAACAGCGGCTGTCAAATGTCAAACGGTCGCGCGCCAAAACCAACTGGGTGCGGCGGCGGCGCCTTTTGTACGCACACACGCGAGGTACAGGAAAAATTTAAAAAGAATGCAAAACATACCCAATACCAAACACCCTATAAATTTATTAGCTTATAAAACATCCTAGTTTCGATACAATCAAAAGATATAAAAAATATGCTTTTTAATGTAAAATCTGGGCAAGGTTGAAATATATATAATGCAAAACTACAAAAACCCACATGCCTACCGAATAAAATAGCACACATAATGAGGGAATGAAAAAGACACATTTAAAAGCTTCAAAAAATAGGTACTCACCGGGGTTTATTGTTAATATCCACCTAACACACACATACACCTTTCTTCGATACCACATTTAAGTCTTTTCCACCAACCGCTAAAACACCCATAAAGTTCTAATACCGTAAATAAACTGAAAAACAATGATCGAACGCCTGAGGTTTGCGATTTAGATTTGTTGAGACTTGTTGTTGGTAACGTCATCGGCTGCGGCGTCGGCGGTGTGAATCAGCTGAAGGAAGTATGACGGCAGATACTACCATATAGTATTTTCTTATCGCAAACAGAAAAATGTTTATAGTTACAGAGTGTATTAAAAATAATAATAATTAAAAAGGGTCGAAAAGGTAATTAGAATTACACAATATTGCGCAATACCTGTATCATCCTTCCTTTTGCACACGTCACTACAGCTGTCAAGGTATAAAAAGGACGACACGCCCAACCCAAATCAGTTCTCTTCGAGATATTGCAGGTGTCACATCGTAGTACCAGCAGCGGATAACTTAACCTCAAAAATGGAAAAATTTATTGTAGTGAAAGATTTCATGAAAAAAGTTCCTCGTTTCGGTCTTACCGGCCGTAAAGTGGAATTTAAAATAAAACCAGTGCCCAATGGTGAAGATCCTATTAAATGGACGAAGGGGGCCATAGAAGATATTTTGAAGAAAGGGGTCGAGGGCGTAGCCCCAAGTGATCAAGTGGGCATAAATTTCTGTTCCAAAGACTTTACAAGGGGCGATGGATGGATCAATTTCAAACCGGCCAGCGGTGTAACTTTCGACGATGTGTGGAAAATGATATCGGGTATTTATCAATCGAATAGTGCCGGGTTAAACACCGAGACGTTCTGCCTCGGTATTACCAGCGTTCAAGTACCGGCTGGAAAAGGACGAGGTGGAAAATACAATACTTTTATGGAGGAATGCGGGATGCGGAAGGGGATTGTTGCCATAAATAATAAAGACAACATGTGCCTACCCCGGGCACTAGTTGTGGCTATTGCGCACGCTGATAAGGACCCCAACTATACGAAAATCAGGAGAGATATTGGGAAGATCCAAACGGAGAAGGCTAGGGTTCTGGCGGAGGAAGCAAACGTCGTTATCCCTAATGAAGGCGCAGGTATACCAGAATTGGGCAAATTCCAGCAGTATTTGGTAGATTACCAAATTGTGGTGTATCAGTACGGATCCAAAGGCCGGGATTTAGTTTTTAAAGGCGAAGAAAAAACGAAAAAGCTCCACCTGCTTTACCATCAACACCACTACAACGTCATAACATCATTGACGGCGGCGTTTTGTTGTGATTATTATTGTGAAGAGTGTAACGTTCCTTACGACCATAAAAAAGACCATAGGTGTGGTGGTACATGCGCCGGCTGCTACCAAAACCCCTCATGCCCTACAGACAATATGAAAATCAAGTGCCCAGACTGCCTACGTTCGTTTAGAGGCCCGATATGTTTCGAGAACCACAAGAAGCCCGGTTCATACGGTAAAAGTTCGGTATGTGAAAGTATAAGGAAATGCCCAACGTGTCTCATTGTCGTGAAATCAGATCGACCACATAACTGCGGTGAAAAGTATTGTTCGATTTGCAAGAAACACCAACCGCAACCGCACCATTGTTACATGCAGCAGGATACAGGGTGTCCCAGTATGAAGAACACGCTGTTTGTTTTTTACGATCTGGAAACGAGGCAGGAAAAGAAGCTGGAAGACGGAACCATACTTCATGAACCTAACCTATGTGTTTATAGAAAGGTTTGCGACAGGTGTATTGACAAAAACAACAGTGTTGTGTGCCAAAAGTGTGGGGAAAGACAAAAAGTTATTAAAGACAATGTAATAGCGGTATTATTAAGGGATATTTTAGTACTTAGGAAACAATTCAAGGATGTGGTGGTGATAGCACATAATGGCGGAGGGTTTGACCACCAATTTATCCTAGACTATATTCTCCAGCAAACAGACCTGACACCTGAACTTATTACCCGAGGTACCAAGTTAGTTCTCATGTCTGCGGGCAACGTTAAATTTCTGGACTCACTCAATTATTTCCCTATGGCTCTTGCAAAACTCCCCAAAGCATTCGGCTTAAACGAGCTGAAGAAAGGATATTTTCCCCATTTATTCAACACCGTAGGACATCAAAAGTATGTTGGGCCCATGCCCTCTATTGAATATTATGATCCCGACAATATGAAGGTTGAAGATAGGGAAAAGTTCGTGAAATGGTACCAAGAGTGTGTAGGCAAGAATTATATGTTTGATTTCGAGAAGGAGTTTGTTGACTATTGCGTATCCGATGTCGATATTCTTACGCAAGCCTGCCTCAAATTCAGAAAACTCATGATAGACGAAGGAAACGTATGCCCTTTTACCGAAGCCTCAACACTACCTTCTGCTTGCAATAAGATTTTCCGTCGTAATTTCCTCCAGCCCGAAACTATAGGTATCATACCGAAAAACGGGTACAGGTTCTGCGATAACCAAAGCAAGATAGCTCTCCAATGGTTATTGTGGGTGGAACAAGAAAGAGGGGTTGAAATCATACATGCCGCAAAACAACAAGAAAGTATCGTTGCAGGGTGTAAAGTCGACGGGTATTGTAGGGAAACCAACCAGGTGTTTGAGTTTCACGGCTGCTATTACCACGGATGCCCTAGATGTTACAGGTACGACAGACAGGTACCGCTGAAAGACGACCCCACGCAAACGCTGGATTCCCGGCACGAGAATACACTTACGAAAACCCAGCATTTAATAGACCAAGGCTACGAGGTGATTGAAATGTGGGAGTGCGATTTCCGGCGCAATATGAGTGTAGAAACCAAACAATTTGTTGAAGACCATCCTCTACTTATCAATTTACCACTAAATCCGCGCGACGCTTTTTACGGGGGCCGTACGGAAAATATGAGGACATACTACAAGTGCCGGGAAGGAGAAACAATCAAATACGTTGATGTTTGTTCACTTTACCCGTGGGTAAACAAGTATGGAAAGTACCCCGTAGGACACCCGGAAGTTATCGTTGGTAGTGAAAAGTGCTCCAAACTTAACCTGTTTGAAACAGACGGACTAATTAAATGCAAAATTTTACCGCCTCAACAGCTAACCCATCCCGTACTACCGGTAAAATTGAACGATAAACTCATGTTCGTGTTGTGTTACGCATGCGCTAAAGTCGGGGTTAAAGACTGTGGCCATAGCGATGAAGAAAGGGCAATTTGCGGTACGTGGGTGATTGACGAAGTGGTAAAGGCGCTTGAAAAAGGATACCAGGTGTTGGATATTCAGGAGGTTTGGAAATACCAGATAACGCAGTATAATCCCGAGACAAAACAAGGAGGTTTGTTCAACGGATATATTAGCAAATTCCTGAAAATCAAACAAGAATCATCAGGGTGGCCCTCGTACTGTACAACGCCCGAATCCAAAGACCAATACGTGCGCGAATATTTGGCAAGAGAAGGTGTTACGCTAGATCCAGAAAAGGTTTCTGTAAATCCCGGCCTTAGACAGCTTGGAAAAGCAGTCATCACATCGTTTTGGGGCAAGTTGGGGCAGAGGGAAAACCAGGGAAAAACGGCTATTGTGAACAAACCCGAAGCGCTGTTTTCCATGCTAACCAATCCTGCGACCGACGTAAATTCCATCCTGCCAGTGAACGACGATACTTTACTGGTAAACTGGTCATTTAAGGATGAAGCATACGATATTCTGCCCACGGTAAACGTCTGCTTAGCCGCCTACACCACGGCCCAAGCCCGGCTTAAACTTTATAGCTATCTGGAAAAAGTCGGGGATAACGCTATTTACACCGATACAGATAGCGTTATTTACCTATCGAAGGCAGGGCAAGAAGAAGATATTCCGCTTGGAAATTTCCTCGGTGAAATGACCGATGAGTTGGAGGGGTATGGCGAGGGTAGCTACATTGATGAGTTTGTGTCGGGAGGGCCTAAGAACTACGCCTATAGGGTATATTCTCCTAAATCCGGGGAATATTCCATAACGTGCAAGGTTAAAGGTCTTTCCCTAAACTACAACGCCTCTCAAACCATCAATTTTGAAACCATAAAATCCATGGTTTTAACAGAGCAGCCCGAACCTATTCCAATAATATACAGGCAGATACGGAGAACAGCTGATCACAAGGTTATCACAACACAGCTGACAAAACTCTACAGACCGCTTTCCACCAAACGGAAATTCGACGAGGAAGGTCACTCGTTACCGTTTGGATATAAAAAAGCTAGACTGTAGCTGTGCACCTATATTAACTTCATTGTTCTAATTTCTACATCTATTGTTATTCAAAACCTATTTATTTTATAATTTTATTACTTGTAAGTTTATATTGTAATTATTCTATTTTATACAGGGTGTATTGATTATTTTAACGTATTTATAAACCTATATTAAGCTATTTTTTCTTATTCGAATACCTATTTATATTGTTATATTAACAAGTATATTATCACTATTTTTAAATGTTACTATACAGGTTGATTAATATTTATACTAACAAACTGTTTATTGTTTGTAAGTTTATTTTATAATTTTATATATTAACATGTATGTTATTATTTTTTGTCAATAAAATATGTAAATGTTAATATACAGGGTGTCTAGAAAAATATTTATAGTAACAAACTGTTTATTACTCGTAAGTTTATATTAACAAGTATGTTATCACTACTTTTGTTATTAATATATTTATCAATACAATATGTAAATGTTAATATACAGGGCGTCTAGAAAAATATTTATACTAACATGTATGTTATTATTTTTTTATCAATAAAATATGTAAATGTTACTATACAGGCTGATTAATATTTATACTAACAAACTGTTTATTACTCGTAAGTTTATATTTTATACTAGCAAGTATGTTATCACTATTTTTGTTATTAATATATTTATCAATAAAATATGCAAATGTTACTATACAGATTGATTAATATTTATACTAACAAACTGTTTATTGCTTGTAAGTTTATTCTGTAATTTTATATAGAACCCGTATTAATATTTATATTTTATACTAACATATATGTTATTAATATATTTATCAATACAATATGTAAATGTTACTATACAAACTATCTAGAAAAAATATTTATACTAACATGTATGTTATTATTTTTTGTCAATAAAATATGTAAATGTTACTATACAGGGTGTCTAGAAAAATATTTATACTAACAAACTGTTTATTACTCGTAAGTTTATACTAACAAGTATGTTATCACTACTTTTGTTATTAATATATTTATCAATAAAGAAATCTTACAATTAAACCTTTATCTTTTTTTCCCTCGTATTTATAAACCTATATTAAATTTCTAGTTTAACCCACACGCCTGACCGGATCCAAAAAACACGTCATACCTATTGCAAAAACCATTAGTGGGTAGAATCATCATCATTTCCTTTCAAAAACCACAACATCCGCTAGATACAGCAAAAATTTCTGATATTATTTATCGCTCCGCCACATGTCGGGTGTAGATAATGCCCACACACAAAGTTTAATTTTAATTAAATATTTATCGCTAAAACCAAATATTTTTATGTAATTATTAAGTTTTCCATACTATATTTTCTGTTAAATTATCCAGTAGCATCGTTAATTAATTTTTCAACAATATTTTTGATGACAAATTTTGATGGGCCATCAGACTAATACAATTTAAAATATGTTCTAAGCTTTAGTGGTAGCAATTAACCTTTTTCTGGGGCAAAAACCGCTCTATCGGGTCCATCGGATCCAACAGGGCGGTTCCCAACGGGTCCAACAGGGCAGTTCAAACGGATGAACGGGTCAACAGGGCTGTTCAAGCGGACGAACCGGTCTATCGGGTCTGTTCCCAACAGGTCTGTTTAAGCGGATGAACGGGTCAACAGGGCAGTTCGATCGGGCCCAACAGGTCTGTTCCCAGCGGGTTAACAGGGCTGTTTAAGTGGGCGTCTATGCCGGGTTCCCGTTGGGTTAGTGTTGGGTTGCTGTTGGGTTAGCGTTGCGTTGCTGTTGGGTTAGCGCTGCGCTGCTGTTGGGTTCGTGTTGTGTTGCTGTTGGGTTAGCGTTGCGTTAGTGTTGGGTTGGGTATAAATACCGTATATTCTTATGTAAAGCATCATTAATACGTTATCAGTTATGGAGCAACAACAACAACGTAGACTAAAACTCTTGAATATACCAAACCACAATGTATTTGGTATTAGGAGAGTGAACAAACGTCTGCTTATCGGCAACGAACCAGTTAAAGTACAAGATGATGGGTATCTAGCGATTAAAGATGAAAAATTTGAACTGACGAACGAATTCTTCTTACTCAATCGCGGCCTACTGAGTACTCTGTGGTAGATCTAGAGAATTATAAGTTTATACTGTTATTGACAAACGCACATAGACGCCAGTTTAATCACGATAGACACATTACTTCAAGCAAAAGCCGAAAATATGTAAATATTATTTCTAAATTATTTCCACCGGCAAGGAAGAAAGGCGAAAGAAAACGTACTGTGAAACAACAACAAGGAAGTCAGGATATAAACGAACAAGTCTTAAACATTAGTTCTCCTGCTCTGGAATACTATGATATAAACGAACAAGTCTTAAACAATAGTTCTCCTCCTCTGGAATACGACGACATTAATGAACTGGTTGATAGACTATATGTACTGGATCAGACCCAAGGAACTTGAGCGTTTAGAAGTGGTATATAGACCCTAAACCTGTATATAGGGTGGTTAACAAACTACTTACATTCGGTTGACAGCCTAATCTTGTCTGAACAACATGTACGTTCTTTATATTTTGGCTGTGTGACACTTACAAGTGGTAAGGAGCTAACATAAGAAGAAGTCCAGACTTTCTTACGATTTCACGGTTATTTTCATAATAACGAATCAGCAGACGTCCAGAACCTAGAATCATTGACGGAGGGTTTAAGCGAATTTCAAGCTATATATATATATATATATATCGGGTCCGTAAAAGATATATATATATATATATATATATATATATATATATATATATATATATATATATATATATATATATATATATATATATATATATATATATATATATATATATATATATATATATATATATATATATATATATATATATATATATATATATATATATATATATATATATATATATATATATATATCTACCGGTCTAAAAGCACCGCTCTCATAACGGAACAATTTACAGGAGTACCTAGTAAAATAGACTCTGTATTTCGGTACACCGGCGGTATAATTTATTTCCTTTATAATGGGCATTATTATGGTTATGATGAATTTTCCAATAGTTTAAAAGTAGCCGGTAAACTTAGCTTGGGTTTCTTTGAAATATTTTGTCCAAATATTAGTATATTAGAAAAACTAAAAATATTGTTAAATAAGATTATAAATCAAAATATTGTATAAGGCTATTTTATATAATTATATATTATGTTTCCTAAATAAATGTAATTAAAATTATTTCTCGTTTTATTTAATAGTAGAAAACAAAGTTAATTTCATACAAGCGGTGGGTTTATCAGCTAGACACATAATCACAGACCCGTTAAGGCTGGTTTAGACGACACAACTTAGCGCGCGTTTTATTGGACCCACATTTACATCTTTTTTCTATTTTGTAACATGTAAATTGGCCTTTAAATTGAGCTTAATGTGCGCACAATACGAAGAGGTTGCTGCTGATTGGTTGTATGGAAGTATGAGGAGATTATAAAAGAAGAAAGTTTTCGTCGGGGCGCTGCAGAGTTCCTAGTTCCGACGGCAGCTAACGACGGGTGCTAACAGTCTAAAGGTAAATAGTTTTTTTTCCTTATTATTTTTATGACACTGTTTATTGGGTCCCTATTCATAATATATAGGTTCTTGATATTTAAATAAACAATAAAATTTAGACGTCGGTATTGAAACTAAAGTTTGTATCTCTCTCTCTGCTACCGGGTTTTTGAAGTTTGTGTTTATGTTGATTGGTTGACTAAAGATAGAATAGAAAAAACGTTAATATAAAATAAAAAAAATAAAATAATAACTCACCGTTGAGGGCTCCTTTGCAAATCCTGCGGTGTTGTTTTAAATTATCCTTTCGGCTGAATGCTTTCAAGCATTTTTCGCACGTATCTAAAATAAAAAAGCATTTTTAAAGCCAGAACATAAAATAAAAATATTTACTTACGTTTACTAGGGCCAATACCAAAGTCCGCTCTGGTTCGTGGTATTTTGGATTTTATTAGCTAAAAAATAATATATTTAAAATTTTTGAAAAATGTACAATAAATAAAAAATAGCCGTGGTGGTTTTGGTAATATATTTTCTGTACTACTGTTTTTACTTTTACAGTACAGGCTCTAAGCGACCCTTGTACTCGTCAAACGGCGCGGTGTCTTCCTTGAAAATCTTATTTTTTAAAAGTGTCTTTTGCTGCCGCTTTTCCTGTTTGTTGTCGTCATCCCCCACTATAATATATTTGGTGAAAGAAATATATTTTTCTTTGTTTTGGATTTGGCGGCGGGTTCTTTTATGAAAAACAAATAATAATAAATCATTACATATCTTTGTGTGCCTCTGATACTTTTCTGGTTTTGTACCATTGTTTTTTACTCTGTAGGTTCCTACAAGAGTCCAACATTTGGTGGTTTTGGTAACATAATTTTGGATAACTGTTTTTTACTTTTGTCCCATAAATAAGACCCTGTTATCTGTCCCATAAATAAGACCATGTTGTCTGTCCCATAAATAGGGCCATGCTGTCTGTCCCATAAATAAGACAGCCTTGTCTGTTCCATAAATAAGACAGCATTGTCTGTCCCATAAATAAGACAGCATTGTCTGTCCCATAAATAAGACCATGCTGTCTGTCCCATAAATAAGACAGCATTGTCTGTCCCATAAATAAGACCATGTTGTCTGTCCCATAAATAAGACAGCATTGTCTGTCCCATAAATAAGACCATGTTGTCTGTCCCATAAATAAGACCATGTTATCTGTCCCATAAATAAGACCATGTTATCTGTCCCATAAATAAGATCATGTTGTCTGTCCCATAAATAAGACCATGCTGTCTGTCCCATAAATAAGACGGTGCTGTCAAAGATGTTATGACGTTGAAGTGGTTCTGGTGGTAAAGCAAATGGAGTTTCTTCGGTTTCTCCTCGCCTTTGAATACCAAATCCCTGCCCTTGGATCCGTATTGGTAAACAACAATTTGGTAGTCTACCAAATA